GATTTGAAAATTAGTATTAAATTTCTTATTGAATTTAGAAATTCTAGCAGTTGTCATAACTCCTTTTCTGTTTGATTTTTGAAAACTGTTGATGAAATCTTGAAATTCCTTTGTTAAATATGTGTTCCTGATGTAATTTACACACTTTATAAAACAATAACAATTGGTTGGTATGTAACAATTTTCTCCTATGTATTCTTTTTAAGTAGGTTAACACCACTTCCCTTTTTTGATCTTTCTACTATTCTAAAATTATTTTTGCGCAAAATAATCTCTCCTGTAAAATACCAATCAGATGTATCAGAGGTTTCATGCAACTTTGAATAAATAATCTGGAAAGTTTGAGCATTGAATCCAGATAATCTCATGTCTTGTTTGTGTTTTCCTTTTTGATTTATTTGACCATTTATTTCAATTTGGCCTTTAATTTTATAATCCTTATATAGAATAGTTATTTACTTGATTAATTCTGAAAAAGCATAATTGAGGTTGATATTTTTAATTTCATTTTCTTCTTTTTCAAAAACTTCAGCTACATCATCAATTATATATTCAAATTCTTCTTTATCTTTTTCACTTAGTTTGGTTGAAAATATATTAGGTATTGAATTGAATATCAATGAAAAATATGTTTTAGATAATGGTTCGTTTAAATTTCCAATTTTATTCATTCTTTTTTTAAGTATCTATTTTTAACTAGGAATTTTATTGATGATTTTTCATTGATTTTTTGTTCAACTGTTCTTGTCTTCTCTCGAAAAAAAAAAATGAATAATTTATTAAGATGTATTTAAAATTTCCTTTTATAATGAGCTTTGATGTAAAACCTAAAGTGATCAATCCACAAGAACACCACTACCCTTTTTTATTTCTTTGAAATTGTTTTTATGGAAAATCATTTTTCCTGTGAAATACCAATGAGAAGTATCCGATTTATCATCCAGCGCAATGAAGAAATTGACAAAAGTCATGGTATCAAAACCTACAAATTTTATGTCTTGTTTGTATTTTCTATCTTGAGTTATCTTTCCATCTAATTCAATTTGTCCGTTAAATGATAAAAATTCTTCAGCGATAAGCTCAATAACATTGGAAAAAAGTTCACCTGATATAAATGTTTCATCGTCTAAAATTTCAATTTTATTCATATTTTTTAAGCAAATATTTTTAAAGCAACTATTTTTAACTAGGAATTTTTAACTTTTATTGATGATATTTCTACATCAAATTTATCTAAAATTTCATTGAATTTTTCTAATTCTTCAACTGTTATGTTCTTGTCTTCTCTCGATCTTTCGAAAAATATAAACAATTTATTAAGATATGTATTTAAAATTTCTGTTTTCCTTTTATAATGAGCTTTCTGTTTTGATGTAAAACCTAAAGTAATCAAACCACAAGATGAAGTTTGAACGGCAGTGAACGCGGATAATACAGTTGGGACAATTATTGGAAGCATTAATCCACCGGTTACGGCTGTTGCCACCGTTATTCCTACTGTTAAAACTGTACTTAATGTTTTGAAAACAGAATCGATTTTACTCTATGTTTTTCTGAATTTGTTGAATTGTTTTAGTTTTTCTTTTAGTTCGTTTTGTTTTTCTATCATGTATTTTTGTCTACTTTCGAGTTCCATTTTTTAGGTAATTAAATTAAGTGAACTTCTGATAAAGCATCTAGGTGTTTATTAATAACAACTTTTACAGTTACTAACGATATTTGTTCTTTCGAATCATTAATCTTATTCAGATGAACTGAAAATTTTGGTTTTTTAATAGAGATTGATATATTAACATATGAATCATCTCTTATTAAAAATGTTTGTTTTTGTTGACTTTTATGAATATCAATTGAGGTAAATATATCATTATCAACAAAATATAGTTTTACGTATTCAAAGTCTGTTGCTCGTAAAAACTGATAACTGCTTATATCTTTTGTTTGTGGTTCTGGATTTCTAATAATATTCATTGATGGTGGAGTTTCCGTCTCCATTATCATATCAAAATCACTCAGAGTAAGAAAATCTTCTTCATTATCTGGTATGATTAACATTCTAAACCTATCTATATATTTTCCACTCGTTTTAATTTCATATAAGTGATTAACCTTGGTGTTTTCGTCGTTAATTTTACGAGCGTTAAATAGACGTCTTTTATTAGATATTAGAAAATTTTGTCTGAAGAATAATGAATCAACTTTTACCTGAAAAAAGGGAAAGTTATTTCAATTATAAGTTTTCCTTGGAAACTAAAAAGTTTTGGACGATAATCATCCACCTCTGAATCAAAAATATTTTTGGGGAATTGATCAATATGTGGAGTAGAATATACTCTAATATTTACTGTAAATCCATATTTTTTATATTCATAGCCTTTTGATCTATCAATATTATCAGTAATAGAAACATCTTCATCACTCAAATTTTGAAATGGAAGTTTAAAATAATATGATTCTTTCTTGAGAAACTTTTTTTCTAATGCGAGTATATTTTTGTCCTGTTTTAAAACTAGGTTATTAATAGTGGTTATCTGTTGTTGAATAACACTATCATCAATGTTCTGTATTTGTTGATGAATATAGTTTTTGATTTCGCTATCATCTATGTTTTGTATTTGTTGTTGAATATAGGTTTTGATTTCGCTATCATCTATGTTTTGTATTTGTTTTTTAATATTTGTTAGTTCTTTTTGTAATTCACTGTTAAGTTTAGTTTCCAGAGCATTTAATTCCTGTTGAAACGTATCTTCATTTTCATCTGGAATGTTATCTATCAATTGTTGAATGTCTAATTTTTGTTTTGCAATCTTATCCTCTAATTTAGATATTAATGAAATTAAATTTTGTAACTCAGTTTTATTCGCTACGTTGACCAATTCTTTTTGAATAAAACTTATTAATCTTTGTACCTCTTGTTGTAGCATTAACAACATTTTTATTATTTAGTTGACGTTTGAAGAATCTTTTCACATTATTTATTTTATCTTCTAAATGGTTTTTATTTACTTCAATTGAATTTATTTGTTCCCGTAAATATTTCTTGTGAATCATTATCGTTTTCCGGAGACTTTAAATTAGTTATGCTAAAATTGTTCATATCTAAATCACCTTGAAGAGTGTCTCCGATTTGATCCACAAAGTAAGGTTTCGCTTTATTTATCCATGTTGTACTGTTAGGTTTTTTGGTTTCTAAAGACAAAGAACCTAATCCAAACTTGTTCGCAATTTTTATTGAGTTAAATTTATTACAATTTCTTCGAACTGTTTTCCTAAACTCAACTGATATAAAACCCATAGTGAAAGTTGCCCACAAAACTTTTGACCCGGTAATTGAAATTGAAATGTTGAACATTTGATTGGTTTATTAGTCATTAGATTATCTCTTCAGTGGGTTCTAATCCATAGGATTCGAAGAAATAAAAGTCAGAGTCTTTGTACAAAGCAGAATGATGAACTCCTTTTTGATCGGAAGTATGTATATTTGTTATAGCGTAAAATTTACCTTTCTAATATTTCAGATCATTTATTTCATCTCTCATACAATAATAAAACGGTGATATATTTAACTCATTCGCCCATTTCATAAGTTGAAAGTTTGTGGTTGTATCGGTTCCATATTTATCGAGAAATTCATTCATTTTTAAAAGTCGGTTTTTTGAAGTTCGTTTTGATAAAACCTTCCTATGATTTGTTCTTTGTCTTGATCGATTAATTCATATGTCGGAGGTGATGTGGTGTTTACTTTATCAACGATAAATATTTCGTTTGTCCAGTATCCAACGTAACCTTTTTCGAATTTGCTTTTATATTTGAAAATACGAACGCGATCTCCTACTTTAAATTTCGGTTTAATATTTAAATTATTTATTTCATTTTCGTAGTTATGTTGCGCGTTAATTGACTTTATAATATTTGGATTAATCGAGGCTTGTGTTGGTGTGACATCTATAGATGAATGAATTTTGTTATTGTATTCATCTACAACCTCTGGTAATATTTTAAGCCATTTTTGAGATTTCAATTCCGTGAACTTTTTGAATAATTTATTTTTTAGAGTTCTATTATATCTCTCAATAACTACAGCTTTACCTTCGTTATGCGTGCTGTAAATTTCAAATCCCAGTGATTTCATAATTTTGTTATAAAATTCGCTTCCTTTATCTACCCATAACTTTTGAAGTCGTCTGTTGGATTGTTTCATTATTGTTTTTAATGCGTATTTGACTGATAAACCTGTTTTGTTTTTGAGAGGAATAACCCATACATATCTCGTATATAAATCTATAACTGTTAAGCAATATTTAAATCCTCTTTCGACTGGCATATGAATTAAATCGGCTGACCATATTTCATCTTTTTCAAACACTTTTACTTTTAAAAAGTTTTTAGTTTTTCTAAATTCTTTATGAATTTCATCCGCCAATCCCATGCCTAATTTTATCTTTGCTTTCAAGAGTTTTATAATTAATGTTCTTTCCATTCTCTCTTTGAAAGTTGGATTTGGAATATTTTCAAGTTCGATTATCATTTGTCTGTCTGCTTCGTGTCTGAAGTTTATGTCTTTATTTCTGTATAGTATGTCGTGTTTAAGCGCAGCGGCGTCAACTCTATTGACTGGTTCTTCGCCTGGTTTGGGTTTATCGTTTTCGTCCAATCGCAGATTTAACCTAGTACCTGGACCGGTGTAATTGTGACCGGGAAGATGTTTTTCTCCGGGATATTTTGCCCATGGAAATCCAGGAAGAGAACCCAATGATTTTTGTATATCTCCTGAACCGAAATAGGTTTTTGGAGCGTGAGCGACAATCATTTTTATCCTATAACTTTAAAACCTTTTCCTTTCCTTTCTTCTAATCTCCTGTTTCGAAGTTCTCTTATTAGCTCTAATTCTTTCAACTCGTTAGATTGTTTCACTGTATCGCTTATACTCTTTCCCGCTTCCGCGATTGAGCCGATGGCTTTCGCTCCGGTTGAAAGAAGTGATTTGTTATTTGAAACAAAGCTAGCTACTTTTGGAATTATTGTTTTACCTAGGGAAAATAATAAAAAAGATACCGTCGCCCGAATAATCTTCGAATCTGTGTTGTTTGTGTTTTAGAATTAAACTCATCCTATTTTTAAATGAATTAATTTAGTCTGTTTTTTGTTATCCAAAAAAGAGTTATCTCCCATTTCTAGACTAAAAATAACATTATTTAAAACGAGGCTATTAAAAACCGGAAGTTAAGCGAGACAAGGATGTTATTTTTTATAAAAGTATTTTTAATATGCTTTTTTTGATGGAATGTAGGAAATTGATTGAAGGTGTTTTTTTGGTGTATGAAATGTAGGGAATTTAGGATGTTTTATGAAATGTAGTGTTTTTGCTGTAAGAATTTATGAAATGTGGGAAATTTAGGTCTTGTTTTTTTGGGAGCTCATAGATTGGTTGGATTTTTCCCATGAAATGAAATGGAATGTGGAAAAATCCGAACAATCTATGAGCTCTTATACTACTATAATAATAATAATAATAATAATAATATAATAATAATAATAATAATAATAATAGTAATAATAATAATAGTAATAGTAATAGTAATAGTAATGTAGGTCATGTTTTTTTGGGAGCTCATAGATTGGTTGGATTTTTCCCATGAAATGAAATGGAATGTGGAAAAATCCGAACAATCTATGAGCTCTTATACTACTATAATAATAATAATAATAATAATAATAATAATAATAGTAATAATAGTAATAGTAATAATAATAATAATAGTAATAATAATAATAGTAATAATAATAATAATAGTAATAGTAATAGTAAAA